AATAAAAAATCACTCTTTCGGTCAGGATTTTGTGATTTTACCATCACAAAAGAGATACAAGACACCAATAGCAAAGACAAACAGACACAAAAACTCTTTTGTTCCCCTGGTAATCAAATCATTAAATAGAAACAATCTGATATAAACTTTTCGCATGTAAATTATGAGTGAGTCTGGTGTGAATGTACGTTTTGGTTTGTTATAGTTCTAAATTATAATGTTTTTTGTTTGGTGTAATGCACGAATTGTAGTAGGACAAATTTCCGTACGGACAATACAAGATTATTATTATTATTATTAAAGTTGCATATAATTTCAACACCATAATGCGACCCAGGGCTGGACGCCGCGAGAAATCTGTTATAAGTTATAAAATGGTTTAATTTAATAATTTACACCTAGAATTAGCGAGGGTCCTTGGAAAGTGCGAGGCCCACTGCGGTCGCAAAAGTTGCCTAAGGCCGGCCATGCAAAATAACGGCGTATGCTACGCCGTGGGTCGACTAGTATAAAATATTTCTTTAAAAGGAAAGTGTAATTAAAATTACTATAGTTATATTCCTTTCCATCAGATATAGATTGCTTTTAGACATAAGTAGTTTCATTCCTAAGTGAATTTTTATTGAAGGTCTGTAAAAGTTGTAGGGTTCTCCACAAAAATCCTCCCCGGGGCATCCACATGCCTTACCCGGCCCTGATGCTACCTGAATAACACTGCCATTAAAACATTTTATTATTTAATATGTGTGTGCATAAAAATACATCATCTTACTTTCTAAAACGATGGGTCAGTCTTCAGTTGAACTAAAGAGTTTCTGCCCCTTCTTCTGAGATCTACTAATGTGATGGTTTAACCAGATTTTCATTGGTGATTTTAGATCTACACATGAAAGACAGACAGCACAAAAACAATAGCGGCATTTTCCCTAGGGGGGGGGGGGGGGTCACTTAAAAAAAAGACATCGTTCATTTTCTCAAAGTCTCTTTTGGAACTAATCTACACAAAACAAACAGAGTAAAGAATTTATTTTAGAAAACAGAGAAATTGAGAGAGAGAGAGAGACTCGAAAAAGACAATGTATGAGAGAGTGAGAGAATAGAGAACTATAGAACAAGACAGAACATCAATAGTCCATTACTTAGTGTCTAGTAATAGTCTACCACTTAGTGTCTAGTAATAGTCCACTACTTAGTGTCTAGTACTAAGTCCACTAAATAGTGTCTAGTAATAGCCCACTACTTAGTGTCTAGTAATTGCCCACTACTTAGTGTCTAGTAATAGTCCACTACTTAGTGTCTAGTAATAGCCCACTACTTAGTGTCTAGTAATAGTCCACTACTTAGTGTCTAGTAATAGCCCACTACTTAGTGTCTAGTAATACTCCACTACTTAGTGTCTAGTAATAGTCCACTACTTAGTGTCTAGTAATAGTCCACTACTTAGTGTCTAGTAATAGTCCACTACTTAGTGTCTAGTACTAAGTCCACTAAATAGTGTCTAGTACTAAGTCCACTAAATAGTGTCTAGTACTAAGTCCACTATATAGTGCCTAGAACTAAGTCCACTACGTAGTGTCTAGTACTTGAAAGAACATGCTTCAATATTACAGAAAAAGGTCACGAACTGAGATCCAAGTCTTTACTTCAACCATTTACACTTGGTCTCTGCTGTTTTGTTTTAAAGAGTTTTTCTACTAAAAGAAAACAGTTTTATCTACTAGTCTGTTGTTTTTTTTTTGTTTTTTTTTAGAAACACATAAAAAAATAAACAATATGTTTTTACTGTATGAATGTGTTAAGGAAATATAAGAATACCTAGATAGATCTGGGGTTAAATACACATCCAAGTTTTTAAATTACATCCACATTTAAATTCTTTGTCTGCCTATTGGATTAAATTGAAAGAAAAATTCAAAGAAGTTTACTTCTGACTAAGACTTTGCAAATTTCTAAACAAAGATAATTGATATTTAAGTCTTTACTTCTGAAGCTGTAAATATCAAAGTCTTTACTTCTAAAGCTGTAAAAAACAAATGACATTGGTATGGCTCCTAGTCGATATAAAACATTAATGAAGTATTATTATTTATTAAATTATTTTTGTATACCAGGGTGCTCCAGACAAATGGAAACACACATTTTATACACTAGATCTAGTTCTATGTAATCTATGTGAAGCAAATGCAAAGACAAGGGTGTTAATCTTTAAATATTTTTCTTAAAGATGACATGAAGTAATGATTTTGAAACTTTCCTTTTTTTAATAACATTACTTTGTTGCATTGCTTTTATCAGAAGAGAAATAGACAGAGACACATAAAAATAGAAATCTCGTTAGCTTCTGAAAAAAATAAAATTGGAAAAAACTCATTTGAAAAAAATCATCTTCAGTTGAACGGATTGACTCCAAATGTTTCCTTATTTTGACGTGAATAGAAACATTCAGTGTGATCTAAAATTAGTTTGTGTTATAGAACTCATGGCCGACTTCCCGGATTCTATGATGTCGATAGCTGAGTGATGTAACGCGGCCCTTTCTGGTTCTTAAACACCTTATCAGAACATATTTTGTTAACAGAGGGTAGGTTATATCTGCTCAATAATTTTTTTTTCAGACATAATATTGTAAAATATTGCAGATATGGTAACTGAAAACAGACCATCATGTTTGAATTCGGTTCTTTATCACTCTGTTCAGAACGTACTGATCAGAATGATTGTCTTCCAGGTCAGGTGATAGAATTAGTGTCACAATATAACGGTCAAAGTACTTTTGGTGTGGGCACATAAACAGGTATCAAGAAAATGTCAATCATTAAGTTTGTTTTAATTACTATAATGGAACATTAGATCACAACGACACATTGTTTTACAAGTCAAAGTACTTTTGGTGTGGGCACATAAACAGGTATCAAGAAAATGTCAATCATTAAGTTTGTTTTAATTACTATAATGGAACATTAGATCACAACGACACATTGTTTTACAAGAATCTTTAAGTTTCCTTTGTTTTAATAACTGTAATGGAACATAAGATCACAATGACACATTGTCTTGCGATAATGCTTAAGTTTCCAATGTTCCAATAACTGTAATGTAACATTAGTTCACTCACATGTTTAGAACTAAGATGAGAGATTCTGTAAAAGAAAGTATCTTATTAAAGTTCTTGTCTCTGTATTAACTGGCTTTGGTGGTCTGGTAGTGTCTGGTAGTAAGTGTAACATAGTATCTTCACGGATTCTAATCAGGCCCTCGAAGTGCAAGAAGCATGGGCCAGAAGCCTGGAAAAGTTCCTGGCGTCCTAGTCCAATTCAGAGTCGGTCAATGGGCGATTCAGAAACTACAACACACGACGAGCCCCATTGCAGAGAAAACTACAACACACGATGCCCCCATTGCAGAGAGAACTAGAACACACGACGCCCCCATTGCAGAGAGAACTACAACACACGACGAGCCCCATTGCAGAGAGAACTAGAACACACGACGCCCCCATTGCAGAGAGAAATACAACACACGACGCCCCCATTGCAGAGAGGACGAAGAAACAACAGAACACATTTTGGCAGGATGTCGTGTCTTGCCCGATACGGAACATTGAGTTTAGAGAGAAGTGGCCCATGTTCGGCTATGGGGACAGAGACCTTAAAACACACTGCCCAATTTCAACAACATACTCTACTAAGGAATTAAGTCTCAGCTCGATACTCATTACTGAAAGGGTTTGAGATACAGTAGTAAGTGCTGGATTTGGAATGATGCTCTGTTGCGGTATATTCTTTAGTCGTAGGATCTCGGACAAAGCTTTATTAGCATTAATCCGCTGATTGTCTGTTATAAATAAAGAAATGGCTTATTAATCAGGCGAACACTGCTTGCAGTTCTTCAAGCTAGACACAACATGGATGCAACGCAATGCAACCCTAACCTGTAGATAGGCTCTCATGTAATTAGGCTATCACTACAATCACTACAATAGTTTTTCTTTGGTACTCACCTTTAATAGATTCGTACGATATATCCACGGTGGGTCTTTATTTTAAAAGGCTTTTCAAGACAGTTGACAGGGTTATATAGATGAAAACTATATTTGTTATGAAACATCGATACAGTGTAGTAGTCAGGGGAAACCTCCAATCATCTATTACTAACAATTTTCTGTAGTCAACTGCACCTATTGAAACATTATATAGCATTTTAAATACCAATAAAAGAATTAGATCTTCACCGGATTCAATCAGTCGAGAAACGACTATTGCAGAGCACCTTTTATTGTTTACCTCTGAAGCTGTAAACATCAAAGTCTTTACTTCTAAAGCTGTAAATATCAAAGTCTTTAGTTCTTAATGGTAAATATCAAAGTCTATCTACAGAGACAACCCCGTCCATAAACAATGCAGGTACAGATCGCATTTCTAATTGTTCTGAGAGAAAGCTACATCCCCTCTATCCCTATATTAAATTATGAAGCATTTTAATATTTAAAGTAGATTTTTTTCTTATTTCCTTTAGAAGTAGGACCTCAAATTGTACATAAAGATTATTTATAGAAAGTTAAAAGGTTCAGAGGCTCATGTATAATTTCCTTTGTCAAATGCCGCCCCTGTAAATAATGTAGGCGTCTCTTGGTGGCCGTTCCCGTGGTTTCAAATTAAAACTGGGCACAGCTGGTTACAGGGGCGCATCTCATGCAAGAGTGTCCGCAGCTCCGAGAGCTGCGGGGTAGTTTGTCTGCAGAGTCACTTGACCTGTAAGGGAGCTTAAAGGCACTACGCCTAACAGTAGAGTTTCTCGTCAAGGCTCTACGAGAGGACTGATCCTTCCAGCCTTGCCATCAATTGGAGTTAGTCAATAATATAGTGCACAGGAACTCTTAGACTAGACTAGGAGGTTATGACCAGAGGGTTAGGTCGCTCATGGTCACTTTTAAAACAGGTCAGACTTCTTGTGTTGTTTTGTATTGTGTTATATTTTAAATAAGTTTCAGAACAAAGAATTCGATGATTAAAACGTTGACATTACTTCTATATAAATGAGTAAAGCAGGAGATTGTTGAATCTCAAACGCGTAATTGAATCTTTTTATTTTTAATGTCATGGAAACATAAAATAAATAAAGAAATGTTGATCAATTTTGAGTAAAAGTAAAAAGCTATTACTTCTTTATTTTTACTTCCCAGACAAATGTCAGGGCCAATAAATGTCAGGTAAAACAAACGTCAGGTAAAACAAACGTCAGGTAAAACAAATGTCAGGTAAACAAATGTCAGGTAAAACAAATGTCAGGTAAAACAAATGTCATGTACAACAAATGTCAGGTAAGACAAATATTAGTTATAACAAATGTCATGTACAGCAAATGTCAGCTACAGAGAATGTCATGAGTAACAAATGTCGTGTACAGCAAATGTCAGTGACAACCAGTAGGTTATATAACATATGTACGTTACAACAAGTGTCTTGCGCTTAAATGTCAGCTATATAGAGTGTCATTTATAACTAATGTCATGTATAGAAAATGTCAGCTGCAAACATTGTTATGTGCAGAAAATGTTATGTCCAACAAATGTCAGTTACACCAAATGACAGGACTAACGCATGTCTGGCACCCGATAGAGCTGGGTGGACACAAGAGTCCAGAAAATAAAAATCACAAAATTCAGATACCGGTCTTACCGAGATTCGAGCTTACTCAAGACCACAAGTTCAACAGCCATATCCGTCTTCACGTTCGAGTTATTTAATCAGATTCTTGACCATCTATAGCTTTTTTTTCAATTTATTAACACATGTACGGTAATTAGTTTGATTATAAATCAATGAAACATGCACTTAATGATAGTGTTGGTTATGTAAACACAAATGATCTGCAGAATTTCAAATAGAGGTACCACTTGCACAAAACTTCGTATCACCCTAAAATCTGAGTAAAGCAATTTAGTTAAAAAATGAATACAGAATCGTCAGAAGAATATCTATCTAGGTAAGTGTCAAGCAGAGCATTTTTGTGTATTATTGTCTTCAGTAAATATTTTTTTTAATTGTTTGTCTAGAGTGAGAATCCGCAAACTATGTATATATCTCTCAGCCGTGATGTGATGACAGGTAGAAGGGGGGATCTTCATAACGATGAAGAAGAAAAGGCGATCGCCCCTACTTCCCCCTCTTTAGGTAGACAGTATTACAAAATAAAATGATCACAAAACGTGTCCTAATTATGTGTCAAGGTCAGAATGGTCAGAGCTATAAGATATAATATTACGTTAAAGTCCGGCGACTTTTTTGAGTATTGGTCTGTGTGGTACACTGTCCGCAGCGCCGTACGAATAGGACCTTGGACGTATACTGGACAGGAAGACGCTGGTGCTGAGAGAAGATCCGTCCTCCTCGTCAGCCCAGCGGACATGGACATGATCTTGACCTTCACTCCCTGGAGTCCGAGGCAGCAGTCTGCGTGGCCTGGAGGTATGAGATTCACTGGCTGATCTGTGTCGCATCACTGGACTAAGGCACGGGTCAGTGGTGTCCGAGTTCACGGAAATATCGAATGTGTTCCCTTCTGGCGATTTCAAAAATGTCTTTGTGTGCAATGGGCAGCTAGGGTCGTGGACATCGAGGGGCTTTTTCTTGCACTCTTCTTGGGTTGAAACTTTAGAATTTGATGAAGAATGTTTCTGATAACCAAAGAACTGATCTTTATAAGTACTCTGGATTGAGTTAGGCGACAGAAGCTTATGCTGCCCAGGAGGGCTAAGCATGGAAGATCGAGCGCTGGGTGCCGGCTTTAAGTAGTTGGGCCTGCTTCCGTACCTGCCGTTTGACCAGCTGTGACTCCGTTGTCGTAAAGCGTCGGCAAATGAGGTTCTGCTGTCAAATGTAAACGAACGTCCAGAAGGAGAATTGTTCCTTCGAGTCAGCAACCGGTGCGGCGAGACGTCGCAGCTGCTAGTTGCTCGGGCACGACCAGAGGTAAAAACCCTGGACAGCTTGATGTGGCCGGAGCTGTCCACGCTGGGTGATAGTCGGTTGCTTTGTTGATTGTGTGCGTGAACTTCTTCAGACCCTTCCTTCGCGCTCAGCCAGGATGGTCTGTCTGAGACTGTTTTACTGGAGCCGTCAATGGAAGCGATTGCTTCTGAACTTAGCGTACACGTACAGGCCGGAGTTGTTGTAACGCCGTTAACTTCACTATTATAATGAGTCTGTTTCTTTTTGCTGCGACGATTGGGTTTGACATTTTCCGCGGGGCACCCATCAGCCACGTTGTACCAATCACGACTATCATAAGCGTTGCTGGAGCAAGTTGTGCCCATTCTATTGAGCCCAGGAAACAGGGTGGAGTTGTGGGACTCTTCCAAGAAACTGAAATTCTTATGAAGACTCTCGAGCTTAGGGTGACTAGAAGAACTCGTGCGAAAACAGCATAACGAGCTTAGCAATGTCTCATCATCACGTGACTTTAGTTTGCGAGTGTTACTGTTATTATTTCCGTCGCGGCGTCGTTTCAGTAAAGCTTCGCCATTATCACAGTTCTTCTCCAAGGGAAATGATTCTTCCAACGCCAGCTGAAAATCACAAGAGCCCTCAGGAAAGACTTTAAGGCGGGTCTGGGGCGGGTTGGCGGACCAGCAGTTCATGGCATTGAAAGAGATCGGAACTCATCCAACAGGAGTTTCACTAAAAGCGCTACTCTGGTAGACATGCACAACGACAGCAAGAACAACACACTTCAGTGTTCATGAAAGTGAAATACATCTGAAAACAAAAATAGAAAAAAAAAAATGAATTTGTTATGTGTTATTATTTCTTTCTTAAAGAGTAAGCTATAAACCTAGACATACTGTTTTAAAAAAAATTAAAATATAATGCTTCAAGAATGAGAGATCAGGGGATAACGTACCCAACCTCGGTATACAAAGTGTCTAACGTTAAACATATGGTCAAAAGAATTAGGTTTTATTAGCATCAAACTTGCGACAAAGAAGTGAACCTTTTGCAAGAAAACCAATGAACCTCTTGCAAGAAAGCAATGAACCTCTTGCAAGTAACCAATGAATCTCTTACAATAAAGCAACGAACCTCTTGCAAGAAAGCAATGAACCTCTCCACTCGTCAATAGGTAGAGAAAGTTTAAGCCAAGAATATTTTCATCTAAGTTTTCTACTACAAAAAGATTTCATTTCAAATTGTTTTTCTTTAAGAGCATTTTCGTTAGCGACTAGAACACTTTGATTACTCACATAAAGATAAAGTTGCTATTTTGTGGGCATTATTTGTTCCGTCATTGTTACGACTGCCACCAATAGATTCAATCTTTATTTTAAAGATGTGCCACGGCACTAATAAAAAAGACTCCAGTCAATAAGGAGACTCCAAAGAGACTCCAAAGAGACTCCAAAGAGAATTTAGAGACTTCAGACGCTAAAGACACTCACAAGACTCCAAAGACACTGTGGGCGTAGCAACAAATCAGACCTTTATTTAGAGGTCGATAATGGACACTTGAAACTGTGTATTTAAGGAAGTATTTTTCTAGATTTTGTGTTCTGGTCTTTGCAATTTTAGCCTTATACATATTTATTAATATTTTATAGCTCACTTCTTCCTTCTATTTAAAAGACTAACTTTTGAGGAAGAGGCTGAAGACTCAAAATACAATTCTGTACGTTTCATTCAACAAAAGTCCTAACCTATAAAATCTACAATGCATTTATACAATACAACTAGCACCAAAGTGATCAACCGTACTGCTAAGGTTTTCAATGGATTGACGTTTGTGTAAATAATATTGAATGACAAATGGGCAACTTTACATCGCAATGCAATCCTTGAATGAAATAGTGTCTTTTGTGTCATATAAAATCATTTTGTATTTCCAGTGATGTCCAATTCCATGTCTAGATTTGGGCAAACATTTGACACGAATTTAAATAATTGATGGCAAGTAAAACAAAGAGAACGAAGAAATGCAGAAAAAAAAATAATAAAGAGAGTTTGTGTTTTCACTCAAAACTCTGAGGCGACTCCCGAAGGTGCACCCATGGGTCATATGCTAGGTAGGCATTACAAGTAACAAGACATGTTTCTTTGTTCTCATTACCAGGGGTGGGTAATGTTAGTAAAAAATGTTAGTAATGTTGTAAAAAAGTTAGTTTATGTATATATTTGAGGTTACAAAATTCTAGCTAATTAGCCACACAGGTGAAACCCGATTTTCTAAAATTTAATAATTTTAAAAATTAAATTTGGACTGGAGTCAAAGATAATAAATAAATAAATGAATATATATATATATATATATATATATATATGTATGTATGTATGTATGTATATAATATATACATATATACATATAAACATTTGTTATTTAAAGTAAAAATAATCGCTCTTACAAAGTTTTGTCAGTTGTTTAAGGAAGAATTATATTTTTTTTATTTTACTTTTTTTTTCTAAGTTTGTAGTCATTTTTTTTACTATCACTTGCTTCATATTTCAGTTGAATTTGATGTATTTTCCTTTTTTTAAAGTCTGGTATTTTAGTGCATTTCATTTGATTTAATTGAATAGTAACTCATTTCAAAAGTTATTTTAAGAATTATTTCCTTGTTGTCTTTCCACGCATTGCTCAATGTTGAAAGCAATAAACTTATAGAAATAGATAGCGCATAGAAAAACAATCAATAAATGTAATGGAAGAGGAAATAAAAGCCAAGAACGCCTGGAGAATAGGAGGAGTCCAAGGAGGAGCAAATAAGCAGGGTGTGTGGACGGGTGAACACACAAACAGGGTTGAAGAATGAATACACAGAGTGGAAGATTGAACACACAAACAGCGTGGAAGAATGAACATGCAAACAGGGTTAAAGAATGAATACACAAACAGAGTGGAAGATTGAACACACTAACAGGGTAGAAGAAGGAACACGCAAACAGGGTAGAAGAATGAACCTGCAAACAGGGTGGAAGAATGAACACTACCTAGTGGAAGAATGAACACTACCTATTGGAAGAATGAACACACAAACAGCGTGGAAGAATGAACACACAAACAGCATGGAAGAATGAACACACAAACAGCGTGAAAAAATGAACACACAAACAGTGTGGAAGAATGAACACACAAACAGTGTGGAAGAATGAACACACAAACAGGTGGAAGAATGAACATACAAACAGGGTGGAAAAATGAACATACAAACAGGGTGGAAGAATGAACATACAAACAG